GCGTCTCTCCAACGTCGAGTCTTATGAGCGCATCTACCGCATCCGACGTGCTGTTCAGTGCAGTTACCAGCACAAGCTCCTCCCCAAGGACCAGTGGATCACCACCGCCACGGTATGAATGACACCCTGCGATCGAATCTCTCTGCCGGCCCCTCCTCGGCAAACAAGAGTTCACGATCCCGAGATATCACGAATAGATAGAATATCAACGACTAATTCACCACGCTCTATAGGATAAGCCTTACCTTCAGCCCCTGATGGAGGAGGTTGCCTCCGAGAAGGCCGAGAAGACCGAGCTCGACTCGATTGCTGTCGTCCGAAAGCACTAAATCATTATTGGGTCTCGGATTGGGAGATCAGAAGGGGAGGTTGAATAGTAGCAGGACGGTGGTTGAGAGGGAATTGGCGCCTCCTAGAAGAATGGTGGCCACACCTCAACGGACTAGACAGTTCCCGTGTATCCTATGTATAGACGTCGTCTGACTTGACTCATTTTGCACATATCGTCATGACTTTCAAATCTTTGTACGCATGTGAATATTTTATAAAACTATCTCATGCACAATTTTGTAATTTACAATGTACCCGCTGGGAATAACCTCGCGAGAAGTTCATCTCCAGGCAGCTCTTGTGTTGCTGTCCAAGGAACTCTAACAGAAGATGCTGATATACCGCTTCATCCAGAGGTCCTACCTAAGCTTCTTAACGGATCCCATATACGCTGGCTGATCAGCCTTTCACAGGCATCATCTCACCAGCGCCTCCTCTGTCCCAGTCCAATCAGTAGGTATCCCTTCCTCGACGCCATACGCCGAGCATCAAGCTGGATACTGAATATCACCGACATGCAGCTTTTCCCTAGTTTTTCACCTCCCAACATGCGACTCCGTCTGAAAATGCTGCTTTTCCCATCCAAATATGGCCGTTAAGCTCGTGTTAAGTCGTAACGCCCTCCATGACCAATGCTCGACATGGTGGCATAGTGAGTGTGATAGTTAGTGAATAGGTAAGGTGATGATAAATCCTTACACTCGCTGGTAGAAGAGCAGGTAGGCAACCTTGTTGTCCTTGATGTTGTCCTTGACCTGCTTGGCCTTGGTACTGCCGTTACTAGTACCGTTGGCAACGCTGCTCCATTTCTTCGCTCCTCCGGCAGGGCTGGTGACCTTGCTCCATCCGTCATCATCTCCAGCATCCTCGTCTAGAACCGCTCCAAATCGGTTTCCAGCAGAACCAGAAGAATGACCCTCCTTGCGATTGTCTTTGATTTCCTCCTCTTCGCCGCCCTCGGCAACATCCTCACTTCGGACCCTGCGAATGACGGTATCGTCAATGCGAATCCACTCGCGTCCTTCTTGACGCCGAACATCAACAGTATAATGCCCACCGCTGGCGTTCTTTCCGTGGTGGTATACCACGCTGATCAGCCTGTATTTGGGCATGCCGTCGTCACCGTACGTCTGGCGTTTCTGCCGCGACAGGGCTTCACGGGGAATCTCAAGCTCCAAGGGGTAGCCGATCTTCTTCCAAATTTTGATAGTCCCATTACCTTCTGCATCAAATTGGAAGCGCTTGAGATGAAGGATGAGGACAGGAGGTAGCGTGTCAATGAAAACTTGCTTGGTGGCCGTAACATCCTTGCCGCGGGGTGAGTTGAAGTCTCCCTGAAGACGCTCAGGACGAGTAAGGCCACGTAGAGCGTCTACTACATTGCGCACGTCAGGAGATCCAATATCCAGCTGAAGCGGCTGATAAGGCTCAGTGGTGATGGAGTCCTTCAAGCCTGGCACACGGAACTCCGACCTTAACGAACCACCAAAAATCCTCGAGATGGGGCTGAATGAATTAGGTCCTGAGGATCGAGAAACGGCGGCTTTTTGCTTTCTGCCTACTTCAAGCCAGTCATCACCAGCACCTGAACCAGAACTGGCCCTACGTTCTTGATCAGGCAGTGTGGAGTTCTTTAGGACTGCAGTGCACTCGTCATCAAGAGATTGCAACAGGAAGCCAAGGAATTCCTCAGCATCTTGCTGATGACCTCGCTGTAATCAGTTAGCAAATATTCGTGAATATTTCGAGTGGTCAAGAATAACATACCCTCATACTGGCGAATCTTGGAAGCTGCCTTATAGCTTCGTAAACGAATTCAGGTGTGAAAGGATCACCATAGCGCTCCAATTCCTCGTTCTTGAGAGTGGTTCGCAGAGAATCAATGCCAGCAGCGGACTTGATGGTCTTGAATTCATGCATAAACATAATCCTTCAGGAGCCTGTCAGTGTTTTGAGTCATAGAGCCTAGCTTGGATGCACAACTTACATGGCATCGATAAGAGGAGTATCGCTCTTAAAGCTGTGAACAGCACGCTTGCTGATCTGGCTTAGGAAATCATAGAAGGGAAGACAAAACATCAAAACTTGCAATACCTGCCATTGGTTAGCTTAGTATTGGGATCAATGAGGGCATTGAGACATACAGAATTCATATAACACATGTTCCCGGTGTTGATTAGGCCGCGAGGCTCGAGGAAAGAAACCTGATCGGCGAGACCAACATGGAATGAGTGAATAGCCTCCGCAACAGAGCTTGCGTTGGCTTTAGTAAAGCTGGAGGTAGAGCCATTGGTGGCTCCAACAACATTATCAGTACTATGGCCGTTGACCGGAGTACTAGAAGAGGCAGTACCATTAACCGGATTAGACTTTCCAGGAGCGGTAGCAGCAGGCTTCTTCAAGAGGTCCGCCCAGTTTGCGGGGGGAGGTTTGACTGCTGGGGCAGGTTCGGCGGCGGGCCCAGGCTCAGTAGGCTTCTCAAGGGCGTCCTTCTCGAGGACTTCAGCTTTCGTTGACCCCTCAGGGGCAGTCTCCGGGGCTACGTCGCCGTTTGCCGGCTTTTCAGCACGCACGGGCTTAGCCTCCTTAGGACTGGCCTTGGGGAGAGACGGAATAGCAGGGGCAGGGACGGCGGAGGAGCGTGCGGCAGGGCGGTTCGTCGCGGTCGAGGCAGCGCTGGTAGCAGTGTTGGTGCGTGATCGTTGCTGGACAGGAGAGACGGGAGAATCAGCAGTCTTTATTTCAGCAGTCTCAGAGGGAGCAGCCGAGGACGCGGGGGTGAGAGCTGAGTCCGAATGCCTGGGAGCATTAGCTTCAGGAGCATTGACATGCTCTGTGGCCGCCTGTTGTTGTTCAACTGGTAAAGATAAAGCTTCACTGTCAGCATTGAGCTGCCTCCTCCGTCTTCTCGACTTTGTGGCCCTGGGAGGGAACTTGAAATCGGGGTGGGATGACCATGGCAGCTGATAGGGTTAGTTTGAGCAAGATTTGCTATCGGTCGAACAACTTACAGGTGCACGGAATGTTTCCTTAGGAGCGGGAGGAGGCGAAGGTACTCGGGCAGGCTCGGCAGGCTCGACAGGCGCAGGAGGAGCGGAAGGGAGTGGCTCAGTCTCCTGGGGGACCGGGGGAGTCGGAGGAGGAATCATCTGCGACGAGTGGGTGGAGGTGGGAGTTTGGGGCGGGATTGGAGCCGCAGCCGGAGGTTGGTAGGGATTCGACAAAGCAGGTGACTGTTGCTGAGCTGGTCGAGGAGTGTAGCTCGGGGGAACGCTCACGCCAGACATGGGAATGTACTGAGGCATAGCAGGTGGTGATCGTGCGAAGTTCTGGTAAGGCACATATCCAGGAGAATGCATTCCAGCATTTTGATACTGTGCGGTTTGATATTGCCCATTCTGATACTGTCCAGCCTGATACTGTCCGCCTTGATACTGCGCGTTAGGATACTGTGCGTTCTGGTAATGCTGACCCTGGTAGTGTGGCTGATAGCCATAGTACTGCTGGTTGTAGGCCATGTAGTTGTTAGGATACATGACATTCATGTGCTGGTGATGGTGCTGGTACGGAACATAGGGAGGAGGCTGCCTCCGACGAGGCGCTCCAGGACCGCCGACCATATCAGCGCCGTGAGCTCCTCCCTGTATATTCTGCCCAGCCGGCAGATGGCGGTTACTCATCGTGCCGGCTTGGGGATTGAGTGAGGACGGGAGTCGCCCAGTTGATGCGACACCCGTGTAGACAGCGTTTGAGCCTCCTCTCGCGAACGGTGCAGGTTTCGAATGCGGCGGGCTTCAGTTTGACGAAGCTTCTCGGGTCGATACGGCGAGGAACCTTGCGACGCGACACGAGCTGTGGGCGGCCTACGTTGACCGCAAAAAAGTAAGTTGATGGGTGGATTTGTCAAGTCGGCACGGGCGAACAAAGGCGGCAGAATCAAGCCAATAAAGCCGCACAAACAAAGGATGGAAGACGAAACGCAACAAAGAATTCCGAAATAAAATTGAATAACTTGTTTCAATGAGCGCAGTCGAAGCCGAAGAGTAGACGCACTGAGAGAGAGGATGAGGGAGAGGGAGAGGATTTGCCGAGTTGCGTCAGGCAAAACGGGGGACGCTTGACGTTGCGTTGCGATGGGTTTGCGTAGGAGGTAGCGTAAAACGGAGGTCAGTCCGCTCAGTGTGGAATAATAAACTTATCCAAGGCGGGCTTCTGCAGCGGCAGGTATGGCTATGGCTGTGACCTATGAGCGCTGACAAACTCAAGCCGCAACGCACGCACGACAGCAAGCAATAGGTAAGTAAGCCCAGGGCCAGCACTGCACGAGCCAGTAACTAAAAGCACAAGGTTCATAGACTGGGGGCAAATGTTGCTGTCTGAGGCAGAAAACTGATTCCAAACGAGGGGACTCGGATCCACTCATTCAAGGCCAAGCCCCGGCATCGCTCGTCAATATCAACATCCTGGCTAAGATCAATAGATGGAAACTACAACACAACACAAGTCATGATGATAACGGATAAGTAATAAAATATTCAATTATGATTCAGTTTACTCCTTGTACCTGTACCAATGCTTCATATCCCACCCTGTAAACTTGATACCTGAACTCCCACAAAGACAAAAGATATACGCTCAATATCCTTACAATGATTCTCGTTCTCCCAAATCTACTCATCGCGGAACAGCCATCTACCACCAGGGCGCATAGCCTCCCGGTGTCTGTCTCGGACCGTCTGCTTTTCTCGCTGAGCAGCCTCTGATCTCTCCTGCTCCAGCTCCTGTGTGTTCGGAAAGTCTGCGTTCCAAAAGCCTGGAGGACTTCGCATTCTTGAGTAGTGGAATCGGTGCGTCCCATATCTATTGGCAAGCTCCTGTGTCTTGGCCTCAACCCACAACTCATCTCTTTCCTTCTTGTCCATGGTTCCCAAGCGGTATGCAGAATCACCCAGATACTCCTCCAGCAACTTCTGCTCCTCTTGTCGCTGAGCAGCTGTCAAAGGGGAATTTGGACGCTCAGAGACAGCGAGGGCCCGCCAATCCTTCCCGCAACAGTGCATGTCGGTACAGCCTTGCATGCGAGACCTCTCGTTTCTGTTGCGCACCACATCAGAAAAAGCAAAATCGTGACCCTCATTGGCTTGGGGATTGATCTTGAAGTCGTCAGGGCGTAGTTCCGATATTGGTTTGCGTCGCAGAGCCCCTTCCTTCGAGCCCAAAGGAGACCGCATATTCTGGGGTATAAACTTGGAGGCAGCGCCTGTATCGGTAGTTCGACTCGGAGTATTAAGCTGTTGGGCGGGAGTTCTGTCTCTAGCTCGACTCCCTTGTTCAAATGGTAATACTCGTCGTCCTGGAATTGCAAGGTCTTCTGCGGTTGTGCTTGGTCTTGATGCCGTTCTGGGGGTAAGTCGACCAGTAGGTGAGTTCTGGGCGGCAGGACTGTTCAACAATGTATCAAGTCTCCCCCTAGGAGTTGAATTTGCATCCTTGTCCTTTCTGTAGGCTTCGCCATCTTCAGCCAAAGTCGAGATACCACGTCCCAGCCCCTTGTTGAGGGGAGTGTCTGGTTTTTCTCGGGTTGACTGCACCACCCTTCGATTTACACTCAACGGCGTGAGTGCTGAGGTTCGCTCAATTGGTCGAGCCGTCTGAGGTACATGATCTGGTCGAACGAAGAGAGGCTTAGGGGTCGTGGCTGTAGCAAATGCTTCACTATGCATTTGTTCCAATTTTTGAGTCTCTTCTAGCTCCCGTCGTTTCCTGGGCGTCAACAATCTCTGTGCAACGTCTCCTAAATCTATACTCTCTTGTGCGAGGAGAGTAGCAGGCCCTAATGGTTGTATGGGGCTCGAAGATCGCTCATTGGGCTCAACTTTCACTTTTTGTAATGGCGATTCATTGGGGTCTGCATCGTTGCGTTTCCTCTTTCGCACTTCTCTTTCTGACACAACAAGTGGTGTGTCGGATGTCGGTTCTTGCTTAATTTTCACTTCGCAGACGTAACCCTGAAGTGGTAGCTCTGGTAGCTCCTCGTCGTGGTGCCTCGATTCCCCCTCGCTTTGTGTGGAATCTGAGCTAGGGTTGGCGGCTGTTGTGTCGGGAAGAGGCTGGTTATTGTCAGCATGGAGAGATGCTGCGGCCAGAGGTGGAAGTTCCAGATCTGCTTGCTCGAGGCCAGCCTCCGAAGTGAAACTGGTACTGGTACTGGGAGCAGCATCTTCTGTCCTCGCCACAGGGAGAGTGGTTGCTCGAGAGCTTCTATTTTGACGATCTGTGATGCTGATTCGATGCTCGTCCTCAGCTGACTTTATCCTTTTTTCCAGCATCGTCGCATGATTAATCCATCGATCTCGCTCCTCTTTTCTTTTTCTTAAGGCATCCTTTGCCTGTTTGAAGTTTGCCGAAAGTGCCTTAAACTTGTGGCTAACTTTGGCACACTCGAGCTTCCAGTCTGGTTCATTTTCTGATGTTTTGCTCTCTGTCGATTTTCGCTGGGCTGATGCCTGTGCGTTCTCTGCCGTCTTGGTTGTTGCTTGCTGTAGCTGTTGCTTTAATCTAGCGTTTTCATCCGCTAACTCGGACGCTCTAGACGCGTGATCATCCCGCTGCTGAAGAGCTTCGTTAAGTTCCTTCTTGACTATTTCAAGATCTAAAGCGTGTTAACCATCTTATTCACGGCATGTCATTCAAGTTAATGACGTACCTGATGCAATCTGCTGATCAATTAAGTCACACGCATTGTTGATGGCATCAAAAAGAGCCGGGCGACCAGTAGCGAACCAACTTGTCATTGTTTTACATAGAAATTGAAGACATTTCCGTTAAATCGTCTTTTGACTCTGCGTGTAACGGTTGAACTGTACCTTGGCTGATGCAACCTCGACGCGTCTCCACATTTTACCGACGCGGCGATTTCCACTTAAGGGACGCCCGTCGTCGGCGGGCACACGTGACCACCTTCTGAGGACTCATGATGAGATATCAAGACTTTGTACCACAAGATAATGGGAAAGCTAGCAGACTGGAGATTCTAATATTAATAATAAAGCACTGGCAAGTATATGATATTATAGACCGAAAAGTACAATTGTGGTCTTAACAATATCTTCCAAAACTTTCTATACCTCCAGCTGATTCTATTCCAACACCTAGTTTGTACGCCATGACTGTGACATGCATCTAAAAATACACTCGCTATAATTATACAACTGATATTATTCAGTAATCTTGGTCCTTAGCAAGTGTCCAGCACTTGCGCATTCCAGTACCCATGGACTCTTCATCAACAGCTTCAGGAGTCGCCCATCTCAATCGACTTGAAGTAAGAGACTTTGTGTCATTCAATTCACCATCTTCGAGGGTGAACAAGTGTACATGCATCGTTAGCTTCAAATGAGAGAATAGCCAAGGTACACTGCCCAATTCCTCCACGTGCTTGGGTTTCACTGCTTTGCCTCCGTGCTCACCTGCCAGCTTGGAAACGTATGACAATGCCTTCGATCTTCGTTTTGCGGGCGTGTTACCCTCTTTCGAGTCTTCGAGGATATAGCTGGGAAATTCCCACAGGCCAGCGAGAAGTCCTTTCTCTGGACGTTTCTGAATCAGATATTGCCCGTCTCCCCGGCGAATCACACAGACCAATGTCTCTTCTTCTCTGACTGCCTTTTTGATGACTTTGAGTGGAAATTTGCGTGCGTGATCGACAATAACCTCCATATCGCGAGGACTTGGGCCCGTTTCCGCTTTGGTTGGAGGCTTCTTATCTCCAGATGGTCCCTTGAAGGCAAATGCAGCCAAGGTCATCTGCTTGCCTGATACCCCATTTGCCTTGGCCTTTTTGGAGGTCTTGGCTTCCACCTTGACCTCTGGCTCATCTAAGGCCGTTGCTTCTTCGAAGGGCTCGCACAGGTCGCACAAATCTTCGATGTCCCCTATCTTTGTATCACGGCCTCTGCTTGGGATCAGTGTCTTTCCTTCAGCGTAGGCACGACAGGTCGAAGTAATGGGGCACTGAGAGCAATTTGGCTTCGGTGTACAGATTGTACTTCCGAGTTCCATGAGTGCTTGCCCCCATCGTCCAGGGCGATCGCTTGTTTCAACTTCTTGGTTATTTTGAGCATCAGTCCCATCGCGCGCGATAGCTTTGACTAGAGCGTCGGCAGCAGCCCAGAGTGTATCTATCACGACTTTGTTGGTTTTCACGTTGCCAAATAGCCCGAGTTGTCGGCTCAACACGCGTAAAACGTTTCCATCGACCATCGGCGCAGCTCGCCCAAAGACAATGGCTGAAATGGCACCGGCAGTGTATCGTCCAACACCAGGAACCTTTGCCTCGAGATCTTGAGTGCAGGAAGGCAACAGTCCTTCCATAGTCGAATCGTTCACCACAAGTTTTGCCGCCTCATGAATTCTTGTCGCTCTGCTGTAGTATCCCAAGCCACGCCAGGCACTGAGAACATCATCGGCACTTGCAGCAGCGAGATCGTGGATCGTAGGCCACTTTTCCATCCATCTGTTCCAGTAGTCGATAACCACAGCAACTCGCGTCTGCTGCAGCATGATCTCGCTGATCCAGACCTCATACGCTCGTCGTTCCAGGAGATTGCGAAGTTCAGTCTGACCGTGATCCTTTGGATTTATCCAAGCCTTGCGCCACGACATCGAACGTTTGGTACTCACACCGTCAAACCAACTGAGAAGTGCCTGGCGAGAGGAAGACTCTTTCAGCAATAGGGGTCGGTGATATGAGAGAGGATGATGCCTTGACGGAGGGGTGCATGGCTTTTGGCTTGTCTCCCCTTCAGATGAAAACAAAGTCTCATGAATCTTGGCGTTTGCATTTTTGCCTCTCGCGGGCTGCGTTTTCCGTCGCTTTGTTACAGGCTGCTTGACATCGTTTTCTGGCGTCGCGTCTCCTTCAGACGCGTCAAAGTCTTCGTCGTGAGAAGGTGAAGAGCGCTTAGCTGCGCGCTTCTTAGCTACAGAAGTCTTCTCATCTTCCGGCTCCAGCTGAGACAAGAACTTTTGCGATGCATTGATTGCACTTGAACGCGTTGCTCGCGCTTGTGTTTTCTGCAAGAATTTGTCCATGATGCCTTGTCTCTTTGACAGTCTCTGTGGTGAAAGTGAATGCGCTGTTAACGAAACAAAGTACAAAGATAACCTTGTTTAGTGATACATGATGAGATTAAGTTAAAACAAAAGTATTCATAGAAAAACTGGTAGAGAAAGATGTCAATAATCGTGGTGTTGCAGTATTCACGATCGAGGTTCGGTGGGTAAATTAATTAAACTTAGCGCTCCCGACGCCTAACAAATTAGCTGCCTGTGACCGAGACATCCATACCTCCCACCCAGAATTCTTCAATATTGGTGACCTCGACAGAACCTAAACTGCATTTGTTAATCTTTCCTCTGTAATTCATCACTTCTTATAAGTCGACTTCCGTCGCGGTTATAAAATACGGACTGCTCGGAGATGCTAGATGATGACCCTGGTCCAGGCCAGGCTAACAACCTGCAGCCTGCAGCCGCCCGACAGGCCTCATCATGCTCCCTATAAGCGCTCAAGTCGATATTCCCTCCTTGTCACCTCATCTCATCTCGACCTAAACTGTGTTGACAGCTTCTAATACTCGTCAACGATTGTACACTGAGCCATGCCCTTAACAGCCACACCCTCGAACTTTTGCAAAGCATGTTCTGGCATCTTTCAGGGGCATTATGTCCCAACAAATGTGCTGACCGAGAAAGACTTGGTTGATGTTCAGGACACTGATTTTGGAATTCCTGGCTTCACAAAAGTCGAGACTGAATGGAAAGTCAGACTGGATTACGTAACAGGACAAGACAAACCAACTCCTTATCTCCATCACAGCCTCCGTGACCTGGCCGAAAATGCGGACAAGTGTAGTCTATGTGCTATCATGTCGGAGAGGATACAGACGGATGAACAACCAGCGGCTATTCCTCAGAGGTTGAAAGAGATGAAGGAAAGGGGGGAGAATATAATCGGAATCCCCATCATCAGGCCAAAACCGGGAACATTTTCTGGCATGTTCACTCTTGGGTTTCTGTACGTCACTTGGGATGGAAAGAAGTGGCATGGCCATACCTTTCGAATATACCATGCCTTTTTGTCAATCGGTGAGCTGGTCTGTATTGTCCATACCAACACTTCTAATGAGTTCAGACACTTCGAAAGGGGACAATCGTTTCATATGGAAACCTAAGTACGATCGCCAAGAATCGTTACTACGAATCAAAAGTTGGCTTAGTTCGTCGCCGACGATATCAAGATTGACTCCTCGGCTGCCAACAAGGCTGCTTCACTGCCAGCCATCGACGGAACCAGGAGGAGACCCTACAGCCAAACTAGTAAATACGACTGGTTTTGACGTATCTACTCGCTACATCGCCCTCAGCCATCGCTGGGGAGCAGTACAACCACTCATGTTATTAAAGTCTTTGAGAGATGCATTTTTTAAGAACATCCCCTTTAATACGATCCCACCAACATTTCAAGACGCCATCAAATTGGCCAACGCGCTAGAAGTTGAGTATATTTGGATTGACTCACTCTGTATCATTCAAGATTCCAAGGATGATTGGCAGACCGAAGCTGCACACATGGCCTCTGTTTACTCCCTGGCCTATGTCACAATCTCCGCTACTGCTGCCCAAGATTCTGCAGCTGGCCTCAGAGAACAACATCCAATGCTCAAACATCCTTGTGAGATCATTCCGTCTTGGACAGGGTTTGAGAATCAGATTCCAGCTGTTCCTGTGAGGATCGTAAACAGGTCTGCTTTCTGCGACGAAGTTCTTGCCCAGCCTCTGTTTCGTAGGGGATGGGTCTTCCAAGAATGGATCCTATCACCAAGGACCATCCACGTTGCTCGAGACCAGCTCTGGTGGACCTCAGCCTCGGACATGACATCTGGAGGGTTTGCCGCAAACGAGACATGCGAAGGCTTTGACTTTGACGTTCATCGAGAATACATCTATACAATGGCTCCAGGAACCCTGTATTCCATAGAAGGCCAAAGCGAGGAGAGTCTCCAGCTCGTATGGCATACTCTACTGCAAGAATACATGTCACGATCCCTCACATTTGAGTCTGATCGCTTGGTTGCATTTGCCGGTATTGCCGGTTTCTATCAAAGCCATGCAAAGATCCCACCAAACTCATATTTGGCAGGAATATGGCGTCATGTTCTCCTTCAAGATCTATTATGGACTATAAGTGAGGGTAGAAAAGTCTCCCCGCCCCAGAATTATCGCGCCCCATCGTGGTCCTGGGCGTCAGTTGAGCCAGCGCCGGATACTAAAAAGAAGTTCCTGATCGGAAGCAATGACATAAATCTAGAATTGTCAGAGACGGAACTGCCTTGGGTCTCTACAGCCACTGTTATCGAGGCATCTGTTGAAACGATAGGGTCGGAATTTGGGTCTGTTTCTGGTGGGTACATTGTTCTCCAGGGGCCGCTGATCAAGGCTCGCCTTTCTATGAACATGATCGATCTATCGAATCGTCTCACAGAAGAGCAGGCTTTGGAGTTCGTACCAGGCGGGAAGTTGCGATATGTCCAAAATCGTGTTACGGTACCAGGGGGGCCAAGTGTGGCAACAATGGGGGCATATACAGATTTGTTGGGAACCATGGCTCAACTCGATGATGTTATCCCAACTGTGCTGGCTGAAGAGGTTGTCGATATTTACCTGTCTGCCTTCTACTGCCGCTTCAATCGTGATGGAAGCCCTGTTGGCCAAGCATTGGCTCTCGTTAGAGGCATCCAGAAAGGCGAGTTTCGTCGAATTGGCCAAGTTACCATGACTGGAGAGACCATAGAGCCCTGGGCTAAGAATAGGGAATTCAGTGAGTTTGCGCCTCTTGCGAATGATCAAGAATTTCTTAGTATGGGGGATCGACCTGGGATCTACAACTATCGAATTGTCTAGTCTATCGTTAAGCAGCCTCATTAAGATTCATCACCATCTCGTCCAGGCCAAAGAAGCTTCCTGCGAATCACCGCTGAGATCATTCCATATAACACAATCAACCACATAATCACGAGCAAAATCGTCATTATACTTGACACCCACTTAATCCCTTCACTCTGCAGTTCCTCACCAATGTATGCCGTAGCTAGTGTGAAACCAATATTTGGGAAGACAAAAGCCCACCAACTCATGCTGAACTTTAATTTCCATCTTAATGCAGAGGAGAGAACGGCGAAGAGGCTGAATCCAAGGAACCAGAAGCCGACACACCAGATCCATACGCCAGTCCAGAGTGCCAGCACTCGGAGGATTTCGTTCGCCATTGGATATGTCGCAAAGTAGCCGTAGCCTTCTGGAAGTGACCTCGACATACCGATGATGGCCACAGCTGTGTATCCTGCTGGGCCTACAGCGATAAACATGCCAGGTCGCATCGCTGGTGCTGGAAGACCATCCTGCATCAACCTGCCTAAGTATAACGGATACATGAACAGAGATACGGTCCATCCAAGACCCTGGAAAGTCAGACCAGCGACTAGCATCGACATCCGGTGTTCCGGACTCTGAGAGGACATGAGGGCAGAAGCGAGAGTCCCGGTGAGCATTGCCGGGAATACCGGTAGAATCCATGCTGGTGTCATAGAATGAATAGGCAGATGAGCACCAGTAAATAGGACGTAGAACTGGACTATGGCTGATAAGATTGAAAGACCTGCATACAGCCAGAAACACACTCGCAACGCAGTAGTCAGCCACGGCCCAGCAGCAGGAATCCCATACACAGTTGCATTCGCAATGATAGTAGCGACGCTGAGTAGAGAGCACGGGAAGAAAAGACTCTCAGTGGGATGCATCAAGCTATTCCTCAGCGCATACGGCGTCTTCGTGAAGCGAAAGATAAGACCGGATACGATAGTAACAAAAAGTACCAACGTAAGGATAAAGTAGATCTTGCCGATAACCTGCAGCCCTCGAAACTGATGTGGCGTTGAATGCAGCAGCAGCGCAATACCGCCTGTGCTCATGACAAATGTGAACCAAGCCCATGTTATATGCTTGAGGCGTTCCACGATTCGTACGTTGGCTGTAGACTTGAAGCGTTTTTGTCCTGCCACTCGTGTATGGCCTTCTTTCCAATTATCATTGTCCATGTCTTGGACGCGGCGTTTGAGGTCGAGCCGGCCATCGCCGTCTGCGGAAAAAGACATTCTGAGACCGATAGAGAGTGAGGAATCATGAAAGACGAAAGCTTGAAGGGTTCAGTAGAAAAGGGCTGAGCTCGTAACTGGAGAAGGTCCACTGTTTGATCAAGGTCGTGACGGAAGTTTAACTTGGTTGGGTCATCGTTAGTCATGATTAGGCCAGGAAGGCTGAAAGGCGAGGCTCTTGATAAGCCAGTTATTAAAACGCCTTCAGTGAGATTTTTAGAGATATTGAGCGTCGATCAAAGGTTATTTAATGGCGTTGTACTAACGTTAATTGAGGTTGATTAAAATAGCGTGAAGCAGCTGCCGTTTGAACGAGCGAATGGGATGATGTCAGCTCATGACGAGCAGACATCCACCATCCATCGAGATACCACACCATGTACAAATAATCTGCTTTCGTGACACTCCAGTTGAAGCTTAATGCAAATGCAGGTTTCGTATAAATCCCACTCAATCTGTCAATTTAACCCCTGTCAATAACCCATTTCTTATTCTTCGTGTGGAAATATGCCGGTATCATATCATCTAGAAGCGGGCGGATATGTTTCTCTGTCAGGTCTTCGAACTCTTTGTCGAAAGCAAAGTTTCTGATGTTGAGCACCACAGCAAAGTCAAAATCCCCATTGCTCTCTACGTGAGTGCGGGCGCCTTCGAGGTTACCTCTACGATAACCGTTTCTTCGACGCCCAATTCCGCTAACAGCTATATAACATTGTTAGTTCAGAGACAGCTATAAGGTAGAAACTTGGTGCTTACCGTGGGACCCAGCAAACTTGGTAATGGTGCTGGCGCTCGCTCTGAGAGAAAATGCAGCAGCGCATTCTTCCATAATAATACCGTATCCCCCGTACACTCCATCAACTAACCTATTCGACAATGGACGCAGCGGATCTAACCCAATCATGCGACTTTCCTGGATAATGTGATCATACCTGTGTTCGTATGGCGAAGCCCCGAATAACTATGCATCCAAGCCTTGAAGGATATTCTTTTCCAAGAAATCCATATATGGCATTCCTGTAACGTTGCTTACCAGATACCCAAGTAGCATAAGTCCATAATTTGAATACACTTTCTTTTCGCCCGGTGTGAACTGTAGAGGTTGAGTGAGCATATACTCAGTAACGTCGCGAACAGTGGCTGTTCTGTTTCCCTTTCTGGGGAGGGACATTGTAACTTTGTTAAAATTTATTGATATCCTCGCCGGCTTCGCCTCGATCATATCCTCCTTTATGGTCGAGCAGATGTTTGACAGTGATATTCTTAGCCCAGACGCTCATGACTTTAGTCTCGGGGGAGAGTTTGCCGCTGTTGATGAGGATGTCAACAGCAGCAAAAGTGAACATCTTGCTCACGCTTGCAAGAAGAAAGATATCGTTAGTTCTGGCGGTCTCGCGGTCGTCTTCGGCCCAGGTATAGGCCCGCTCGGTCTTGATTATGCCTTTCGATGCTATGGCCACTTGTGCTTGTCTGACACCATTCGTCTTCATGATCGAGTCCAGTTCTTCCTCGGCATCTTCGGTTGTCGGGGGGTGCCGTACGAACGGCAGCCTTGTATTTTCATTTGTAATCCTGCTTCGCTTTTCTAGAGGAACGGTACCCAATCCTTGATACCACAATCAAGTGTCCAGACGGTGTTGTTTCTGTCATATTCCATAACGCCAGCAAAGATAGCTTCCTCTTCAGGACCAGTAGCGGTAACATGGGTAAGCACATAACTTCTGTTTCGTAGCCTTTCGACCCATGAATCAAAGACCTCCTTGGGTACATCATGGATCACCTGGAAGTCTGGGCCAATTGGCTCAAAAACCCAGATTGCAGAGTAACGGGCGTCATGAGGAGACCCGTGAGAACTTAGCGATATTGGTCGATACCCGCTCTTTGTAAGATCTCTACGTCTCGCCGAGTGCTTAATTTTAGGGACACCATTGTAGTATTCAACCCGCGGATGGGAATGACGAGGGAGGATCGTGTTGGGATGTTTAGAAGCTTTCACTGAACTGTGGAATGATAGGAGGGTTGCCAAGAGGCGCCCTATCATTCGGAAATGCATGAGAGAAGATCAGCAACGAGACCTGTTGTGGTACTATCGGACTGATGGTTGCAAGGAATCTTGGTAGGAATAAAAGTGTGCGAAATGAAGTAATAAGTAATAAGTGGAACAGATGAGAGGGGATGGAAGGAGACATTCTCGCGTTGATTTCCCAAGAGGGGCTGTTGAAGCCAGTTTTTCATAAGGTTGGCGGCGTCTCGAGATATCTCATATCGCCCTGTAGATGTAGATGTAGATGTAGATGTAGATGTAGAGAGACTTATACCATATTTGGCCTCACCCTGTCCATTCATAAACGCCCTCGAACGTGATCTTCACGGCCCATTGGCGTATCAGAAATCCAGAGAGTTTCGGAAAGCATTCAATACTACCTTATGGCGAATAGCCTGGGACACGAAAGAGAACTCCATTAATTTCTTCCAATTTTAAACTTTGAAGATAAGCATTTACAGGGTTCATGAAGATGACTGGTCCAAAGCATGAGAATACTTTACTGAAATATTCTAATCTCATGGGCTTTAACCATGTTCTAGCCTGATTAGATCTCAACAGAATGGTGGGTATTCCCGGCAAGATGATTGATGGCCTCATACTAGTAGCTACTTCTCTCACAAGCCCAGTCACCAGGTGCTCGGCGAACTCAGCTTTGACCCCTGTTATACAGTATACGCCTGCCGAGATCCCGTGTAAGTATCTTCAAGGAACCATCATCCATTTCCCCTGGAACGAGATTCCAACAAGAGATTGGTGTTGACAGTGAAGACGCACTTCTCACATGGTCAGTGTGTATAAATGGACCGATAATAAGAATTAACAGGTAGTTTCGAAGCAAATCAAGTCAGTTGATGGATAATACCATATGGAAAAGCAGTTCTGAAATCATGGGCGATATTCTCCAATTCAAGGTCCAGTCTATAACGTCGTTTGATTTCTTCTCGTTGTCAGACATCCTGATGGCCAACTCTTCATAGAAAATCAGAACATCTGAGTCTTATTCAGAGGAGGCAAGAGCGATCTCATCATCTAAAACAAGTCGGCGCTTTAGACTGACCGAATTCGTCGTTGTCGAGGAGGCTACTCGAAGTTGCACAACAGCTTTGTGTCACACCCTGCTACCAAGTACGTACAATTCTCCGATTACAAGGTCGCACGGCATATATGCTGAGAATGAACACAAGTTCCAATCGGAGAACATCAGACAGCCGAGTTGTCTCCTTGAGAGAGACAACATTCTCTGACCTTGATCGTAAGCCCCCAGTAAGGCTCTTAGCCAGCAAAGGATCAAAGACTATTGAAGAATGAGGTTATCGGAACAAATGGCTCTGTTTTTTTTTTTTTTTTTTTTTTTTTTTTTTTTGAAAAGAACTGTCTCTCATGTATTCGACGTAGACTGAGGGCATCATGCGTGCCTCTGTTGATAAATCGTCTCATGATGTTGGCTGGTGTTGTTATGTTGCGTCGATCTGGATCTCAAATTATAGCTTCACAGACTATACCTGAAACAGCTAGAACCTCCACCTTGCCCCATCTGTGCGGTCCCGCCACGTCTTTGGCGATCTCGCCTGATTGTGCATGGTTAGGGCAACTGCATTTTATCACGTTACAGCGTTTGATGCAAGGTCATTTGACGACGTTGGCAAGTGTGTTAAAGAGTGATTTCTGGAAATATTTGCGATCGAGGTTTCAAAGTATCTCATCTGACATATCTTGGTACCTAAAAGGTCACAGCTGCTGTACCTATCTGCTTGGCTCGGCTCTGATAGATGGTTATGACCTATCACACTCAGCCTCATAAGCACAAGTCGAGTGATACAACGTGATGATAGCCATAATGTCGCATCTTAAACCCGACCTTGGCATCTTGCATCATCTTTGTACAACGTCGCCATATAGGGCTTGAGTACCAATAGAACAGCTGTAAACCTTGCGTAACAGCCAACTCAGACGACATCGATCCATCCATGATAAACGCCTTGTCAGACTGACATTGTACATCCTCGTTTGACTCGAAGTTTTCGAGAACAATGGCAAGCGAGCCAATGCCTGTTGAACACAATAACAAACCAATTTACTTAAAGCAATTTCTCGGGTAGTTACAGGTCAATTGGCGTTGGAATACGAATATCTGTAGTAAAATGTGATCGGGTGATTGCACAGTGCCCTGGCCAGATCCAAATCCACGATGTTAGCCCAGTGGATGTGCTCGCTGCAAGGGACGACTTGCAGCGGAAGGGCCAACGATTTGAGCCCTGAAGCGAGAAGTCAGGCCTCCACTGTGGATTGAGAAACGCACTGGGCCAGGGACGTTAGACTAGGTACCTTAGACGGCAGGGCAGGCGGGCAGTATGCAGCTTCGACCCGCACTTACTCAACCCGTCAAAGCGCGTGAAAACTCCCCTCAACTTTGAACTCGGCCTTGATTCTCTCTTTCACACATCACCACAAACTTTCCTCAAATTCTCGTTTGATCCTCTCCTCTTGCGACCGCAAGCAAATCAAAGATCTCGGTAAGTTTTTGAGTTCACATTTTCAGAAATCAACACGCAGCCTCTTTACCAGCAACTCCCACTTCACTGCCGTTCTTTCGCATCATCATCTCTCAGCGCTCGCCTGAAAAAAATCCTGGAGGAAAATTACCTAGGAAATCTCTGCACCCCGCCCCCGCCTACCACTTTCAGCTATCAGAACGTTGTGAGTGGGCTCAAGACTCACTGTCCACTGTCATGACAAGCTTTGGGACGAGCCGTTGGATTCCATTGTCGGCAGTCAATCACTATTTTAACGCGACTACAGCTCCAATTGCAAAGTTCAAGAGCCTCTGAATCACCCTCATGACTTTCTCACGCCTCTCAGCCATTTTGGTTCAAAGAGTCTGTGTTTTCACATCCGCAAAGGAAACCTTTCAAATTTCCTCCAGTCCCCCCTCTTCTTACTACAACTCCGTCACCACAAATCAGCCCCTCGCCAATCTCTTACCTCTATCGGATCTCGGAGGCGGGTGACCACTCTAGCTTTTACCTCAACACACTTTCATACTTTCACATCCGTGCCTCACTTCTTGGACTGACTTCGAGAATTCAGAAACCCTTTCACACAACCACTCAGTTTCTCAAAATGGATTCTTTCCAGCAGCAACAACAGCAGCAGCCCCGTGGCGCTTGCTACTCTTGTAAGTCTGATATATTTCATTCAGACTCGTTCATCAGCATATCACGCACCAAGACCTGTTTCCAGATCAACACGAGCTTCTGCGCTTAGTCTTGTTCCAAAGACGATCCAAAATAGTGCGCTGCTTCTTTAGGTTCTGAGCTTGGTGTTGTGGCTTGCCCTTGACGTGTTAATGCATGCTCCGGCTGGTCGCGTGCCATACACTCACCGCAGTCCCGGCTTGGCAATGGCTTTTGAATTCCATTGAGCCTCGGTTGCGATGTCTTGTTTCCACATAATTTTGCGTCCAAACTTGAATCAGCACTAACATGATTTTCAGGCGGTTCTACTGGTCACCAGGTATGATACGCGTTTCGACGTCTTCATCTCAATCCACTCACTGTTCTCTCTAGGCCCGTGACTGCCCTACCAAGGGTCCTGCTAAGTGGTAAGTGTTTTCTCAGAGCTTTTGAGTTTTTCTTTGCTAATTGAGACCCAGCTACAACTGCGGTGGTAAGACCTGAGTTTTTTTAATGCTGTAATTTTGCCGACTAACATGTCTTGCTATCAGGCGAGGGCCACATGAGTACGTTTCTCACCTCTCCTTGTTGACTTTTGCTAATCCATCACAGGCCGTGACTGCACTGAACCCATGAAGGACAACAAGTCCTGCTACAAGTGCGGCCAGCCCGGCCACATCTCCCGTGACTGCCCCATGAGCGGCGGCAGCGGCCAGGCTACCGAGTGCTACAAGGTGAGTTTCTTTCTCCTTCAGACTACGGCTCCTGACTAACAACCATCAAGTGTGGTGAGATTGGCCACATTGCCCGCAACTGCTCCAAATCCTCCTACGGTAACAACTATGGTGGTGGCTTCGGCGGTGGCGCTGGCAAGACCTGCTACTCTTGCGGTGGTTACGGCCATATGTCTCGTGAGTTGCACTTTTATTTGGGAAGCATTTGATCCCAGCTAACCAACTAACAGGCGAGTGTGTCAACGGCATGAAGTGCTACAACTGCGGCGAGTCTGGTCACTACTCCCGCGACTGCCCCAAGGAGTCCGCTGGTGGTGAGAAGATCTGCTACAAGTGCCAGCAGCCTGGACACGTCCAGTCTCAGTGCCCCAGCAACTAAAATGGGGCTCGTTACTCAGCATCGCGACTGAGACGAGGTGGACGTGGAGACCCGTTGATACCCACGGACGATTTATTTCCTAGTTCTTTTACGGCATTTTGACAAAAGTTCAATTTCTTCGCACGACTTCTTATGATCATCACGGCAGAATGGAGGCTCACAAAACAAACCGTGCGCAGTTCTCGACGACTGGCTGGCGGCGCCCAGCTTTGATTGGAACATATCGGCATTGGATTTCGTTACACAACAAACGAACGACTATGACCATGAAATCGACTCGACTTTGAGACAGACGGATGGTGATGGGTGGGGGGTGACGAGATCAAACTGAAAATATCTGGTGTCTTGCATGCAATGTTTCACAACACCTCTGGTGCTCTGCTTACTCGCTGCAAGTGGAGAGCCCAAGCTGGGGAGAGCTGGGTGTGCTCCTTTGGTAGTCAAGTCGAGATGAAATGCGTTGATCCCGACGTTGTGGAAACTCTAACCTGGTGTGACTGTTTGTGTGTTTCGATATTGCCGACCTATGCTTTGCGTTACTAGCAGAAGCAGGCGTGTAGAATGAAGGTGAACAAGGCTCAGAGGGTGGCCGGTTCCCCTTGGACGCTTCAGCGTGACCGGCCTGTTGCTATAGAGATAGTAACTGATTAGCAGCATGCTATTAGGATGATAGGCTGTTCAGTCGGCTTGGTATGAACAAATGGTGAGCGAGGTCACGCAGACGGAACTCGCCAGGGGTATCTGTGTGACCAAGGTCTAGATATAAAATGGTTCAAGGCTCCGATTACCCGAGGGCTTCTGGCGTGGCTTGATTACGTCTCATAATAAATCCACGGGCCAAGATATGAATCCGGCATGGTTGACCTTTTACAACAAGCTTGACCGAGTATTTGAATAACGAGCCGATCCAGGTGAAACCCAGCAAGAAATTTAAGGCTTTGCTACGGAATATACCTGCAAATCTAGAAGATGAATAAATACCTATACAGCTTCTGAAAAAGCTCTTTCTTTTCAACTCAAGCCAATCAAGTGCACCATAGGAAGCATTGTTTGATTTTGGTACCACAAGAATATCATTATGCAGACTTCTCTATCGAGCTGCGTTGAGCTAAGTTGTCTACTTTACGCTTATCCCCTGGCTGGGAATCATATCTAGAGTCATACCACACTTATTTTGACGCAGGTGGTTTCAAACTGCCAATATATAAATGCGATTTTGATTCAAGTTCGGTGTTTGTTCATGTCTTTTCTAAACCGCTGAAGATTCGAATATTGTCATTTTGATCTGTATATTGGAGAGCACTTACTGGTATCATTCGGTAGATAATGCCAGGTTCAGGCTTTTCAAAAAGCGAAAAAAGACTCAGGGGCTGGGATCACTGGATTGAGATCGAAGTTTTGGTTGTTTTGTGAGGACTGCATGGCTAAGCCCTACAGGATAAATCTATACTGCTCTATATTGTGTTTACAAGTCTCAATCGACTTGTTGACAGGGTTTGCCTGAACGTACTTTGTTACCAATACTTGGTTATAATTTCACCTTGGCCTTCGCGTCCTTCCCCTGGCCCCTGGAGAACGGTCAATCATCACGAGCGGCACCTACATTTGACCTATGATCTATATATGATTATTATTCATGTATGGAAGTTTGTATACATCCTGTTCACTCTTCAACTGACGATATAGGAAACACGAGGTCCAGTCTTAAGGCTCAACTAGCTTCGAGATGGGGCCCATGTACCCATCAGGCAAGTTTGAAAACGGTATCGTAAAAGAAATGCCGACTTCTAGTAGCTGCAATAGACTCCAAGTAGTTCAGCTGATCAAGTAGATCATGCTCAGCCACGATAGAGAGACATTAGCTTCAAAAAGCTGGAAGCTTACACCCTAACCAAACAAAGTTTCCTAAAATCAGCACATCAACTTATTTGCCGAATTCACGTTGACAGGTGACGACGATGAATACTAAAACACACAGAAGAAAGCCAACGGCTACAGTTCCAAGGGTATTAATGCAAGATTGTACCCAATGCGAAATGTTCAATAAGTTTGATCATGATATATATCAAAAAGGTTGCGTTATCGCAGCCTAGCAAGTAATTCATTATCACATTTCCTTCGCTTGAACAAGAAGAAATAAATTGCTGAATATTTTCCAATAATACATGGTTTAAACTATAGCCGTCTTGAAACACTGCACCGTAGTCTTACAACATAGCCTTGGGGAAGTTTCTCATGGCCTGTCTCACACCGAGATCTGCCAACACTTCCTCGGCACCACCAAGAATGGCATCAAACTTGTATGTTCGGTGGAACATCTCGATGAACTTGCCCATACCAGTCTGGGTAATACCACGGCCACCCCAGATCTGCACGGACTCGTCGGCAACTTCGTGGGCAGCGCGAGTGGCGCTCATCTTGAGCAGACCAATGGGGCCGGCAAGGTGCTGTGCTTGTTGTGAGTAGGGCATGTGGCACATTTGGTAGGTGACGGTTTCGAGCCATGACTGGTTGGCCTCGATGAGCGCGATCATCTTTGCGAGCCTGGAAGGCGTTAGCAATTGAGGAAATATGCAGAGTTTAGGAAAACTTACTTCTGACGGATGACGGGTTGGTCAATCAGTGACTTGCCGAACACTTGACGTTGGTTACTCCACTTGAGACACTCCTCAATGATGGATCGTGACAAACGAAGACTTCCGCCTATTGGATAGAGGTTAGTTCTGATCTACATGGTTATGCCGAGGCTGAGAAATGGTAACACTTACAAACCATGTACCATCGCTCGTGGTTGAAGTTGCTGAGAATGACCTGAATTCCCTTGTTCTCCTTGCCCAACAAATTCTCAGCGGGGACCTTGACGTTGTCGAATGTCACAAAAGCTGTACCAGCTGTTGTAGAGTAAGAGGTCTTGATCTGCTTGGTCTCAACACCCTCGCCACGCTCGATGAGGAAGACACTCAAGCCCTTGTCGGTTCGGGCACCTGTGACGAAGTAGTCGCACCATACACCGTTGGTGATCCACTTCTTGGTACCGTTGATGATCTAGCTTGTGTAAGCGCTTTGTCTTTAACCCTCAAGCAGCAATTGACTTACATAGTGCTTGCCATCGGGTGTCTTCTCAGCAGTTGTACGCAATCCAGCGACATCTGAACCAGCAAAGGCCTCGGTGATGGCGAGACAGATCTTCTTCTTGCCGCTGAAGACCTCGTTGGCAATCTTGTTCTTCCATGCCTCGTCGCGGGCGAAATTGAGAACCGCTGTCAGTCCAATAGTCATGCCCGCCATGTTTCCATCAGCGAAACCTCGAGCCATAGCTCGCGCAAGCTCCTGTGCCACGATCAAGTCATGGAAGTAGTCGAACTCCTCACCCTTGACGGCGCCTCCCATGAGATCAACACCGTGGAGATGCTTTCCCGGTCCAATACGCATATGCAAGATGCCCAGCTCGCTCATGCGATCAATCATCTTCTGGCTAATGTATCGTCCAGTCGCCTCGCACTCTTGCGCCTCCGCGTAAAGCTCACTATCGACAAACTCTCGGAGCTTGCGTTGCAATCGCCTGTGGCTGTCCTTGTAGTAGGGCGAACGGAAGGGCTCTGCAAGCCATAGAGGCTCGGCGTAGGGGACCTTGCTGAGGTCACCAGGCTGTGGGGTAATGACTTGAGGCTTCTCGCCCTCGATGGTGCCAACAGCGAGATCCTTGTACTTTGTCAGAACTTCATGTCGGTGGAGGTTGTAGAAAGCGGTCGTAGCATCTTGACCGGCGACTTGTTTTAGGACAGTCTCACCACCGGGATGAGCGTCGACGAAGTCTGTGAGATCGTAGACTGTGCTATCGATGATGCACCAGAGGGACTCGTCGGTTGTATGGGAGCGGACCTCCTCGCGGGAGAATGTATCTGTAGGAGAGCTCATGATTGATATAGGATATTACAGTGCAACGCGGTATCACAATATTAGAGGAGAACAAGTGAGAAACAGACTTGAATGAAATGGAATTCGGCTTGCTTTAGCTGTTCTCAAGCCCCAGACAAACATTACCCCAGACGATGATGACCTTGAACCTCGGCACCGACTAAGTGGGCCTGTTGTGATGAAATACAAAGTCTCCCATTGGCTTCAGCGGCATCACTTCCATTTTGTGGGGGCGGGGCCGACGCATTTGCACATGATGGAATGACTTGAATCTTGACCAAAAAAAGTGAGACATGAATGGAGGGTCACTCGAGTTGAACCTTTCCTCGGTAATAAACCTCGATAACTCATTAAGCGAGGTCTCTATCCGCGGCTTATTAAAAGCCCATTACCGTCCTCATCTCGAATGGCCTGATGCTATGGGTCTTGTACTTCATTGCATAAGGAACTGTTCATAACTAAATGCCTAACCAGTAGGATCTCCTTTATCCCAAGGACTTCCCCTGCAAGAATTCATGACAAAGGCCATACATGTTCCGCTCATCTGATTTTATTCGTGATTGGCTATCTACGGGTGAGGTCATAGACTGAAAGCAACGCAGGTAAAGCATTTGAGGTGCCTAAAACTGCTGTGAAGGATGGCTATCGAGGACGACGTTCAGCATCCAGTATAGAGCGATGCCCCGAGAGTCACTCATCGATACGCTTCTAATGGTACTTGTGCTCCTTCTCACTTGAGTGGCATTGAGTACAACACATTGACAATCCTTACAAAGACTGCACCTTTACCTACGCCCAATGTGAGGTTCACTCATTATAAGCTGCTCACTTCCATTCTTCGCAACCTGACCGACGCTTATATTTTTAACGTATGGTTACTTAGCATCTTCTCACTCGCTCTCTTAACTGCGCAAGCAACCTGGATTATCATCAAACACAACATTCTGTGTACTCCTGTCTCTGTATTCGTGAGCTCCGTACCGCTTAGTTCAACCTGTACCAGGGACTTTGAGCACTTGGACATGATGGCTTGACAGTCTCGTGGGTTCGTGGATAAGTCGTTGGAGAGCTCACTTTCTGCAATGTATTTAGCTCGAGATAGTATCAACCCTTCATCCAAAGACGCCAAAGATACGAAGCAGACAATCAAGTTTCTTTACTTTTGCGGTGAATCGCGTTAGTCATGGCCCCACGCCGCTAGAAGCCGATAAAGATAAAACTTGAGGATTGCCTCAGAATCTTTTCCTCTGAGCCTGAATCGATTCTTTTTATGTTTCATAAGCTCTTTGAAGAGTAATGCGATATTCCCTCTTTCGTCCTGCTCTATCTCATTTGCACCCTCGATTCTTACTAAAGTACGTATCAGTCTTCGTTCTCACCCCTCGTTTTCTCTTATCACTTTGCCTCGCTCTTACATAGCCCTGCTTGCGCTCGACTTGACAGCTATGAACCGTTTTTACAACCTCCGTTTCCTAGAACTAGTGTGGCTTGGCAAACGGGAGGATCCACGATTTGAATCTGGATCTGCACAGGCCTTTTGAGGGGCATCTTGGTTCTATATCAAACGACGGGCCTTGTCTTGTCCCCGTGTTCCCATGAGCAGCAGTTCAGAGCCGCCATTGGATTGGTTATTTGCGGGTTTTTCTTTGTGTATCTTTTTTTTTTCGGTATATTACTCTTTTTTGAACCCCGGACCTGCATCCGTGAGACAGCCATGTCCATATCCGCCTCACTTTGGTCTTTTACATACTGTCGAGCTTCCTTATCAAAGAGGTTGCTCCAATGGCGATGTTGCTAAGCTGAGTTAAAAGCTCATACTAAAGCACAGAGGCGTGCATGGCGGCGTTTGCCCCTGCGCCCGTTTTCTCATCAACGGTTTTGCAATTTAGCACCAGGGTCTTGTTCTTATTGATGTTTCGCGATTGGCCCTTCTTCGTTATCTGGGGTTTGTAAACCGCTCAGGTTGCCGCAACTATCTCCAACTTTGATCATTGGCTAGAAATTGCCTTGATCTAAACACCATAGGAGCTAACACACACCCGAGACACCACACGCTCATTTCCCTCCCTCCATTATGCGGTGGATATATTTCCCTCGTGATCGTCGTCATCACGGTATCTAGCTTGTTACGAGTTGTCATCTATGCTCCGGGAACCTTGGTGGCCAAAAGTCATGTCTTGTCTGACATGACTTTGACACCTGGTGACCTCCTTGTCAACCGTTGAGGCTTATATCCCTCCGTTCTGGGCTACACCTGTATCCCCCGCCCTATCATACCTTGTTATATCTTTCTATCTCGATCCTCTTTCCCTACTGGAAGTCCAGTTTTCCTTCTTTTACCATTGCTCTACACCCATCCCTAAACGCATATTTTTCGACCATACATCTTGAATATCTCAGCATGGATGCTTACTCGATATGTTGCACTAGTCCTGCCGCTAGGCATACATCCAAGATCTACCAGGATCTTTGGTCTACCCGTCCACATACTCGGGTTGGGTATGATCAAGATAAGATCTTGAGGAAATTTGTCACTATGGATAGTTTGAAACAGGTATGTACAAAATCTGCACCAAACCTGCCGTTGTTAAATGTCTCATATTGGACGCCACTTATGGGCTGGTCAATGGTGGCAGTTTCATTTTCAGCCTCTTACATACTTTGAAGACAATGCTGATTAACAAGCTTGCAGGGTTGGAGGGGTGATCTGACCTCAAAACCACATATTGGTGTAGTTGGTGCTGGTCTCGCTGGTCTACGGTGCGCAGATATTCTCATTCAGAATGGCTTCAAAGTCACTATCATTGAGGCCCGGAATCGAATTGGTGGCCGCTTACATCAAGAGGTCCTTCCAAATGGCCACTTGGCTGATGTTGGTCCTAATTGGATTCATGGAACCAACGATAACCCAATGCTAGATCTGGCCAAGCAAACGAATACTGCCATCGGTGATTGGGAGTCAACGTCTTGTGTCTTTACCGAGTCTGGCGAGCTCTTGTCCCTTAAGGAAGGTGAAAAGTACTCCACTATCATGTGGGATATTATTCAGGATGCCTTCAAGCACTCTAATAGCAACTCGGCAGACATCGATTCGAAAGAGAGTCTTCATGACTTCTTCGTCCAGAAGGTGACCGAGAGGGTACCTGATACTGAGGCCAACCACGAAAGGATACGAAGCATTGTCATGCAAATATCTGAGATGTGGGGTGCTTTTATCGGCAGTCCTGTCTACAGGCAGAGTCTGAAGTTCTTTTGGTTGGAAGAGTGTATAGAAGGAGGTATGTGGAATCCGAATTATATGAAAGCAATCGGCTAACTCGATCCAGAGAATCTGTTTTGCGCCGGCACATACAAGAGGGTTCTTGATGAAGTTGCGAAACCTGCTCTTGGGGGAGCTGAGATCAAGTTTCAGACGAAGGTCGACAGGATATCATATCGATCAAATCCTGAGGAAAAGGCCAAGGTTAGAACAGAGAGCGGCCAGACACTCGAGTTTGACGAAGTTGTTGTCACTGCACCCCTTGGCTGGCTAAAACGAAACCTCGATGCTTTTGAGCCTGCGCTACCTGCTCGAATGACCAAGGCAATTGATGCCATCGGTTACGGATGCCTTGAGAAGGTCTACATCAATTTTCCCAACCCTTACTGGCTCGGAAAAGAAGGTGACGACCGAAAAGCAGAGGGATTTGTGCAATGGCTCTCACCAAACTACGTTCCTGATCTGAACCCAAGACGATGGAATCAAGAAGTCGTGGAACTTGCGAGCCTGGGCCCAGAAGTTTCACATCCAACCCTTCTCTTCTACACATACGGCGAGCAGTCGCAGTATATCACGAGCGAGCTACTGAAAATATCGGATCCGCAGAAGAAGGACGAGTTTCTCCTCAACTTCTTCAAGCCATATTACTCACGACTCCCGCATTACTCGGAAAGCAACCCTGACTGCAAGCCGTCTGGCTTTAAGGCTACAGATTGGCTTCACGATGAGCTGTCAGGTTTCGGAAGCTATAGTAATTTCCAAGTCGGTTTGGAAGAGGGTGATGCTGATATCCGGACAATGCGAGATGGTTTGCCAGATCATGGATTGTGGCTGGCAGGCGAGCACACGGCGCCGTTTGTTGGTCTAGGCACAGCGACTGGAGCCTACTGGAGCGGTGAAGCTGTTGGTAAGAGAATAGCGGAGGCTTATTATGGACGATCCAAGTAAGGGACCTTTGAAGATTTGATGGATTCTACAGCGAGAAGAGACATGGTCGTTTGTTTGTGGTTAGAGTGACAATAGACAGCATGCCTAAAACGGCCGTTAAAGAAATCTTGGCAAGGGTATGCGCGTGATAAGCAGTGAATATGTCGTTGTCTCAGGCTATCAAGGGACTGCATAGAGATCGACGATGCATTTGTTTGAAGCTGCAGCTGCCTTGACTCACCAGATTTACCCAAAACAGCAAAGGCGATCTTTCGTAACAAATCGTGTCAGAGCAAACCACGTCACAGTTGATCAAGGCATTGTAGTATCCATGACGCAGGCAGCACAATGTGATGGTGTTGCGCGGTGAGTCGACCTTATCGATTGAGTTACCTAAGTTACAGTAAAGGTTGCGCGAGTCGTATCACCCACTAAAAGCGAAATTCACAGGTCAAATGACGCCCCTAGAGATGCCCTCGGGAGATACATTATGGACCAGCTGCTTTGGTGCACCGCTCGAAACGATCCTTGAAATTGAGTCACGAGCCTCATGTGTTAGTGTTTTAGCGCCTTGAGGGGCGATTGACAGGGTCTCTTCCAGGCCTTCTATCGCCTGGAGCTCGTATGGATTTGGCAGTACAGGGCCCCACTGAAGGTCTATCTCCCCCACTTGCCCGCGCGTTGCCGTCTCAGCCATCGTCCATGCCCATGCAAGTCGTGACTGTGTGACGCTGTCTGTGACGGTGACCCGACTCTTTGGGAAGTGTGCCTCGACACCTTTTGTCAACCTTAGTTACTTTACCTTTCTTGAACCCAAGTTTGTATCGATCAAACCTTTTCAGCCTCGCTGGTGCCTCGCCCTTACTGCCACGATTCACATCTCCAAACTTAATTAATTTATCCGATCTCAGGGCGAATTTCTTTCCTCTTACACCTTCTTCTCATGGCCTTCTCCCATTTCCTCTAAACATGTTCTACGGCCCCGCATCTGGCCGGGGTCCTCAAGCTACCGACTGATAGACGCCGACGTAGGCCTCTGCCTAGACAGCAACGATACTCTGTCGATAACTTACACCATTTCGATAGTCGATATCCATCTGTCGTCTTCTATCATCCCTCCCTCTTGGGCTGCGTGGGCAGTCATCGCCACTCCGCCCATCCACTCGATCGCATCCCACGAACGACGACATCATGGCGACCCTCTTCCAGTCATTCCGGAGCTCCTCGATGCCAAAGAGGCTGCTACGATATGCCCTTTCTCGACTGGAACTTCTCGATGCCGAGGCTCTCAATATTGATAATCTAGATTTGGCAATAGGAAGGAATACAGTCCTCGAATTTCGCGATGTCGGGATCAAGCTAAAGGTAGGTTTATTGACTGTGCATTCTTCAACGACTCAGAAGATCATGGTCACTGATGCTCCGTCGTAGAAACTCAACAAGCTGCTACAGCTTCCCGACACATTCAGATTGCAAAAAGCCAAGGTTCTGCTTCTGCGAGTCACCATCCCGATGGACTTTTATACGAGTCCTATAATAGTCGAGGTCGATGGTGTTGATATTGCACTGCAAGTCATAGGAACGGAATCCAAACCGACTCGCTCATCGGGCACAAGGACACCCGAAGAGACCGCCGCTGTACCGAACACCGTCGACCTTGCGCAATCATTCCTCGAAACGCAGCCACGATCAGAGCGAAGGAAACTCGAGGATGCTTTGGCCGCCGAAACCCAGGATCTTGGCGCTTCCGTCGCTATGAGCGATGATGGCAGTGAAGACGATTTGGCATACGGGACAGGCCAAGCCCTTTCCCTTCCAGCATTTTTGGCCGACTTTTTGCAGGGCATCGTCGACCGGACGCAGGTTAGGATAAAAGGTGTTAATTTTCAGCTGGATGTTGAGGTGCCTGTTGAGCCAAACTCCACTACGACCGAGATGGTGTCATTTCAAGTTGCACTTGAGGGTATCGATGTCGAGGGTGTTACCACTGCCTCTGATAACGCTGAAGGGTCCCCCATCATCGTACCAAAGGAGGGCAAGCGTCATGTTTCATTGTCAAACGTACGGGCGTACCTCATTTCAGAAGCAAATGTCTTTTCTGCTTTGGCGAGATCACCTTCTATCACTTCACCATCGCTTGCTTCTTCCCCAGCTATGACAAGGAATCCACCGTCACGCCAGGCTACTACACTCTCATTGAGTAGCCTTCATGAGGAATCCGTAACATCATCGCAGGCAAGCATACGATCAGAAGAGCGGATATCTTCACCACAACCACCTTTTCCGCAAGAGAAACCCCTAGTCCATTCGCAACATAGCATCGATCAACGACTCGTGGGCTCACGCCAGAGTCTTCAGTCCGATAATTCTTTGGCTGGCTCACAGCAGAGTCTTAGAGATGAATACTCCGTCGATCACGAGTCTCCAGAGCACGAATACCCTCTTGGCGACAGTGAGGATGCACTTGGAATCCCATATGAATTCTCAAGCCCTCAGGGCGATGACGCAGAAGACAGCCCAGTGACCCCCCGGGCATCGATGTATCACGATTTCAGTAACAGTCCCAACGACGAACCTGTATTTCACTCAACGTTTCTTCCTGGAGAACACGGCTCTCATTCAGCTGCGCTGGAGAACGAAAGACCTCAGTGGACGATAGCAGAACGGGAAGCCAGATCTGCACCGACACTCGAGACGCCGACGACACATGTTAATTTGGAAGCTTCTAGCAGGGGCATTTCCAACGAGCAGCTTAGCCGGACTTCTTCAAGTGAGAGTTTTGGTGCGAGATCGGCTGAAGATCTGGCAAAGTCTCATATGTACACACATGAAGAAGCAGAGAGTATGTACATGAGTGCTTTCTCACAGACTAACGCTCAATCAGCGACCTTTTTTTCACCAGTTGCTTCTCATAGCAATACACCTTCGCCAAAACTCCAAAATGAATTGACCGAAGAGGTGGAACAATTATCTGAGCCAACTAAACCTGTTGAGCCAGTTGAGACAGCGGTAACTCCACCTACGACTGCGCATACACCTGTGGCAAACGAAGAAACCAAGCCAGACACCATAGATGCAAAGCCCGACATGCCAGAAGTGACTCCTTCTCAGACATCGGATGTCAAGCCTTCGAGCCCCGAGTTACAAGAGGCTCCAGCCACTGTGCCAGTGGAACAACAGTCGAAGCCTTTCATTCCCGGCGCTTGGGAAGATGATGACGACGATGATGATCCTTCAGGGAATGTTATGGCACCATCCACTACCTTGAGACGCTCGATCTATCGGAAAGAGGATCAAGCAATATCATCAGATGCTTCAGATAGCGAATCTTCAGAGCCTGCGTTTTCAAGGGCATGTCTTACTGATGCTGACCCAGAGAATCCAAGTACGCCTATCAGACAACAGGAAGATGTTGCTACTCCCAAGGGACCGACGCGTCTTGTCAAGGAGATTTTGAATTTGAAAACCATCTCGATATATATCCCATCACAGCACCAGCATCTGCATGTTCAGCCTACATCGCCAGAATCTGTAGCCCAACTTCTGCAGCCAATGGGACGGTCTACATACCACCAAGCTCCAGGTGCCTTTTCGATGCATGGGGCGGCTTCCATGCACCAGAACAAGGCTACATCAGGAGCTTCGAAAATTGACGAAACACTAGAGGTGAATTTGTCACCCATAAGTCTTCAATTCGATGCCTCTTTGGGTTTCTTACTCGCGATGGTTGTTGGGAAGCTTCTGGATGCTGTGAAAGACAAGAAAGCACCCCCAGTTGAGAGCACGAAGCAGGAGACTAGCCCAAAGAAGATGCCTAACCTCAAGATAACATTGGAGGAGATCAAACTCGACTTTATCAATCGCTTGGGGGGATCTCAGATACACCTGAGCGTTATATGGATCCATCGGCATTCATTTTCGACCAGGAAGTTCTGCTCAACACAACTTTGCAAAACTTGGTTATTTTCATCTCCGAGACTGAGATATCAACACCGCCAGTTATTAAGGGCAAATTGGCGACACAGCCAGCTATTCTGACCAAGATAGACTTGCAGAAGTTCCGCTTCGGGTATGCAAACGGCGACATCATATCCTTCGACAAGGGCAAGCCGATGGGTTCATCAGTTAGAGAAACATTTCTATCAGCAGGCTCTGATATTGGAATTGAAATCCTTCAATCAGGCGGCAAAACTAAAACAGAGGTCCAGACGCTACCCCTTGTTTTCCAACTTGATCTGCGACGGCTCGATGAGACATTCAGCTGGTTCGGTGGCCTTAGCAGCTTCCTTAATATGAGTGCTTCGATGGCCTCGAGCCCTGCCCCAACACCCAAGCCAGCTGCTCCTACACCAAAGCCTAGAGGGGTTCGATTCGATACCCCAGTTGATCCGAATGACAAATCCATGGCATCACAAAATAAGATTAACGTGCGCTTTGGAGGCGCTTATGTGGAGCTCATCGGAAAAGACTGCAGCATGCTGGTTGAAACCAGTTCCATTAAGGCTGTGAGCCGTGATGAGGTCATAGGCTTGGGGTGCGGCATGATGCGAATATCAGGGCCATACTTAAAGAACTCAACAGCAGATCCTCCTATTAACACCGAGATCACCACAGTTCGAGTCGAGTTCTTGACGACCCCTAATGATTCAGATCTCGAGAAACTTCTAGAGCTTATCATCCCTTCAAAGCATCAATTCGATGGCGATAACGACGAGATCATGGTTGATACTTTGCTACGTCAGCGAAGAAAGGGCTCCGTATTGAGACTCTCGGTCGATGGTGTGAATGTTCGCGTTCAAAACATGACCCAGCTCTCAGTTCTACCGAACCTTGGTGAGGAAGTTGCAAAGCTTTCTACCGTCGCAAAATATTTGCCTGAGGATGACCGACCCGGCTTATTGACGTTGACAAAGATCCAAAAGGTTGCACTGAGTCTAGACTTTGGCGGCAAGCTTGGTCATCTCGGTGCGGACATCAAAGATCTTCATGTAGGCCATATCACGGTCCCTTCACTTGTTGCCATAGCTATACACGACCTTTCCGTGAAGAGGAATAGGTCAGAAGAGCTGGTTAGCACGTCAACATATGGAACCAAGGAAATCTCACTTCGTGGTCCAGTCTTGATGGCGCGGATGATCGGCGACGAGATCGAGCCAGTTATCAAGTTGAAGATGCAAGATCTGTGCATTGAGTACCGCGTCCCTACGATCATGGATATTCTCGAGCTTGGAGAAGACGCCACACCCCAAGATTTCGAAGCCAGCCTTGCTACCTCAGTAGCAAACCTCGGTGACCAGGCGCATCATGCTTTAGCTGGGCAGCCTGGCTCTCCCGGTGAGCAGAACAAGGGTGGGAAGCCGATGACTCTGGATATTGGGTTCCGAGATTGCCTTTTGGGACTTAACCCGCTGGGCCAACCCTCGAAGATGGTGATCGCTCTCACAGATGCTCATCTTGTCGCTGTATTGCCCAAGGACGTAGAAACCAATGCTCTCTTCACCATCAACAAGTCGTCCATCTTGCTGATCAACGACATTGCCGAAGTTGCAACAAGCGAACTTCCAGTAACTCAAAGACCGCGAGCCTCATCTTCGACATCTCGCCAGGTAGCGGACATGTGCGCGAGAGGATATGTGGACATTTGCTACATCTCATCCGCTAAGGTCGTAGTCGATGTGAAGGAACTTGATGATGGAGAGAAGCAGCTTTGTGTTGAGCTCAAGGATGACCTTCTTGTTCTGGAAACGTGCGCTGATTCAACACAAACACTGATCTCCTTGGCGAATGCGCTGAAACCTCCAACTCCACCAAGTAAGGAGAACAAGTACCTTACAGATGTAGTCCCCATGCAGGATCTACTCGCTTCTATTTCAGCTGAAGCTTTCGGTAGGCCCGAGGGAGAGTACGACTTTGACCAAGACTTTGCTGGTGCTCAGGAGATGGCGGGGAGCGATTCAGAGGCGGACTATAACACAGACAGTCCGCTGCAAGTTCAGTCACAATTCTACGACGAGGAGCCAGTGGCCGAGGAACTTTTCGACGCCACGAGTAGCTCTATTATCTCACATGGGACGCACCGCTCCGGGCCTCAGATGAAAGATACCAACGAGGGCGTATTGCTGACTGGGTTTGGATCAGCGAGCCAGCAAACAGTTGACTCTGACGATCTTGTGATCCAGGAAGACTACTATGGTAGCGGCGCTTCGAAGGACAGCAAAGCCAAGATCTGGAATTCGAAGAAGAACAGCTACGATCGAGCACCCAGCGACTTGGTGAAGCGCAGCCCTATTAAGGTATCTGTACGAGACGTACATGTTATATGGAACCTTTTTGATGGCTATGACTGGGTTCACACTCGAAATGTCATAACGAAGGCAGTTCAAGATGTTGAAGCCAAGGCATACGAACGACAGGCCCGTGCTGGTCAAGTCCACGTCTATGAGGAAGAGCTGGAGGATGAAGAGGCCATCGGAGACTTTCTCTTTAATTCTATCTACATCGGCATCCCAGCAAACCGTGATCCCCAAGAACTATCTCGAGCTATCAATGAAGGCTTGAACGACAATGCAACAGAGACTGAATCGGTTGCAACCACGGCTTTCACTTCTGCTACCAACAGGACAGCACGTGCTCGTCAACCAAAGTCGAAGCGACTTAAGCTCAAACGCAGCAAGCATCACAAGATCACTTTTGAGTTGCGAGGTGTTGATGCGGATTTGTTTGTTTTCCCACCAAATTCAGGGGAAACTCTCAACAGCACAGATATCCGCATTGACAACCTGGACATATTCGACCACGTCCCAACCTCAACATGGAAGAAGTTTGCAACCTATGATCAGGACATGGGAGAGCGAGAGATGGGCACCAGCATGGTTCATCTTGAACTGCTCAACGTCAAGCCGCAGCCCTCGCTGGAGGCGTCTGAGATTGTGCTAAGAGCGACCCTACTCCCTCTGAGGCTGCATGTAGATCAGGATGCTCTTGATTTCATCACACGCTTTTTCGAGTTCAAGGATGATCAAGTGCCTGTTCACACGTCAAAAAGTGATGTACCCTTCCTTCAGAGAGCTGAGGTCAACAACGTAGCAGTAAAGCTCGATTTCAAGCCCAAGAGAGTTGACTATGCTGGTCTTCGATCTGGACACACCACTGAATTCATGAACTTCATCGTTCTCGAAGAGGCGAGAATGGTTCTGCGCCATGTCATCATCTATGGTATCTCTGGATTTGAGAAGCTTGGTAAGACCCTCAACGATATCTGGATGCCTGATGTCAAGGCAAACCAGCTGCCTGGCATTCTAGCTGGTCTCGCACCTGTTCGTTCTCTCGTCAATGTGGGTAGCGGTTTCAGAGACCTCGTTGAGGTGCCTATTCGCGAGTACAAGAAGGATGGACGTGTGATCCGCAGTATATCGAAGGGTGCCACTGCCTTTGCTCGCACGACCGGTACCGAACTGGTTAAGTTGGGTGCCAAGCTTGCTGTTGGTACACAATACGCATTACAAGGTGCCGAGGGCATGCTTTCAGATCCTCAACAAGCATACGAAGGCTGGGATGAGGATGACATGGACCCAGAAGAACAGAGACAAATCTCTCTCTATGCAGATCAACCGACGGGTGTCATCTCGGGCATTCGAGGCGGATACCGATCTCTTGCCAGAGATGTGAACCTCGTGCGTGATGCCATCATTGCGGTTCCTGGCGAGGTCATGGAGAGCTCTTCAGCTACTGGCGCCGCAAAGGCTGTACTAAAGCGAGCACCGACGATTATTTTCAGACCTGCTGTCGGTGTCACCCGAGCAATCGGACAGACTCTAATGGGAGCGACCAACTCGATTGATCCCCACAACAGACGAAGGATTGAGGAGGTAAGTCAATATGGATTAATGCTAATGAGCTTGACTGACAAACTGCCAGAAATACAAACGATACTAAGTCGCTTCGTTGGCTCGGTGAATATATCTAGAACACGACAAGAATGTTGGCAACATATGATGGCGCAATGATTTTGAGATGCCAATCACATCGGAGTATCACAGGTGTCTCTGGTCTCCCATGTCCTCTTCATCTTCATCTCGGTGTTTTCTCACCGATTCTGCATATAGCGGTGCTCGGACCAAAGGGATGTTTTGTTCTTTAAGAAAGAGGCATGTTTTCTTCATGCACTCGTCTATGATAGATCGGCAAAAACAGGACATGCATTTAGATGCATAACATAGACCCTGGGGGGGACAGACATGCGTTAAATGATTTTTTCTTTTCACATTTAGCTAGGAGTTGGATTATGCCTTGGAAGGTTCTTTGTCTCATGGATGTTTCCTATTGTTGGGACTGGATTTGATACTATAGATACCTGTAACAGAATGAAAGAGTGATCGCCCAAAGTTTGTTGCTTATATTCTCTATTCAACCCATGTGCCTTCAGCTCAATCGCTTGAACTATCACCTAGCCACAAACGCCGTGCTCCTGATACTGTCACTTCCCCCAACTCTTTAGAAGCCATCATCAGGGACTCCCTTCTCCTTCTCCAACTCTTTTCTGACACGGTTCGCATCAACCCACCACTTGTGACTCTCCTCTTTGCCCGTCCACTCGCCCTTCTCGTTAATCTCATCCCAAGGTTTGGGGCTCAAGATGTAGTGAATGTTTTTGACACTCTCATCCCTCCAGATAGCATCATGGACTCCTTTCCACCGCAGTGTCTTCAGCGCATTATAAATGTACGGCAAAGGAACCCATCGGTCCCGATATAAGTCTGAAAGAAGTGACTGATCCGCAAAATCCATATTGGCGGCGTCGGCCTCCATATGTGCCAGAATTTGCGCATAGAGACCCTGAGAAGGGTTGACAACCTGCAAACCACCGTTCATAAAGCCCAAGGGTCCAACTGACGGATCCGCAGCCTCAGTTTGCGCGGCATCGGGATTTGAGTGTTGTGAGGTAAAGGCGCAATTCTCAGGAACCCAGTCCTTGGGATAGTGAGGCTTCTTGAGGGGATTACATACACAGGCATGACCGGCTGCAAAGACACGTTTGCTGATCGTCTTATCACCTGTCTCAGCAATCGAAGGAGGGTCTAGCTCGAGATCCATCAACTCGTCCATGTTGCGCAAAACAAGCATGTCGGAGTCGAGCTGGACGACGCGTTCATATTCAGTCAAAGAAAACGGCGCAAGCTTGCTCCAACAGTCGTAGAACCGTGGATCGTTGGAGTAGTCCCTGCCCTTAGTCGGTAGTAAGTACGGAATATGCTGGACGGGAATGCCACGAGCGCGGAGAGCTGCATGACCTTCAGGAGGGAATGAATCGGTATATAGTGCCACAAGAGGGTAACGAGATTTGGCGGCGCGAAGAGAGTGATCGAGCGTGAGAAGGCCAGGCAAGTAATCCAGGTTCGTGATGAGACTCGTCCATACTGAGGGATTGTACGTTAGAGCTTGTGCTACGCATGTTATGGGCCCCTTACCTTTGGGCGAATCAACGGCTCGTTTCCGGGGTTCTGAGTCTGCCATCTTGCGAAATCTAAAGATTTGTCCTGGAAGAGTCTGTTGTTGGGTATTTTGAAGCGATATCGCAAGAGTATTAGTTGAAGCGGGGGAGGGGTAATAATAGAATCCAAAATTGATAAGCAACAGTCTATTCTCTTTGGGAAAGCGAATAGGACACTGATTTTCTATGAAAGGATGAAAGAGCAGATTCTCTGATGTTTCTTCTACTTAGAAGTCACATTCTTCCACTGCTCTTCACAAAAAGGCGCATATCATGAGTCGTCGATGTCCAGATTTAGATGCTGTACCTGACGATGGCGGGGTATTTTTGGGGTTCTTGACACCATTGGCGATCTGGTCTGTAGCCTCGATTGGAGAAAAAAATGTATACTCATAGATCCTGCAGATACTCAGGAACCGGAGTCAACTGTCTGATGGGACTAACATTATCACCTCTTCACTTGAAGGTAGTAGTCCTTGTCAGTTTCAAAAGAATTGTAGAGAGTTTCGCATATGCAATGCAGATGCAAGGCACAAAGTTTGAATCTAATCGATCAATCAACCATGGGTAACCCAAGCTGCCACGTCTTGATCGAACCTCGGATACTTTCATCATACCCTGTGGGTCCAGTGCCATCTTGTCACATCCCATGAGCATCAGATATGACTCTTCCGTGATTTATCTTCCGAACCGGACATTATGTCCGTCATGTCCTTCTTCTTGAACTTTTCTTCCAAGGCCTTCGGCTAGAAGCCGAGGTCCTGGACTCCATTGACTGTATACCGAGATCAAAGAAAGCTGCCATATGTCCGATGAATGTTCAATGTCCTATGTCGGCCTGCCATATGACGGCAATAAGTTCTTGGTCACTCCAGTCCTTGCTGAAGCAATCATGGTCTGCAGCCTGCAATTAGGTGCAGCGATGACCTCCACCAACACAAGATAAGCCCGGTTCGCATTCAGATTCCGATGCTCAGAAAGTGATAGATTGTTGCCATGCAGCTGTTCGACGTCGAAAGACTGATATCGTATCCCGGCAACATCTAGTTGTTATCTCATATTTTGATCCAACCAATTTCTGACATTGACAACCAAAATCAAAATTTCGAGATAACACAGAGATGGATCATCATAGACATACAGCCACAGTTTGATTGGCGGATCTTGTTTCTGTTCAAGATATGATACTCTGTCTATTTTTGTTGCGCGTCGTCATAACCTTCTGGTATCAGCCCCTGAATCAACTCGTAATCGGGTATCTTAAGAACGGGAGGAAATCCGATCGCCGCTGTTTTCGGTCAAGCACATGGCGGTGTCAAGGTCACAGCTATCCAAGATGAACTAGGGGCCCTAGCTCTTACGGTGAGGACAAGGTGAGGAAGCTTTGAAGACAGGCCCCGTTCAACAATTTTTGTTGACCAGCGCCACCGTAATTCCAACAATAGCAATCGCCCCCTGGTTTAAGCCCCTATGGTTCGGTTCTAGCTCTGTCTCGTTTGGATTTGGCCAGGGATTTCCTTCTGGAATCTGAATCTGTGCAACTGAAATCAGCCGCCAGCGCAGCTCAACAATCTCAGACGCGCGCGAATCCCAATATTCACACGGTCCTCAGTTTATGCATGGGTCAGCCCAGGACCCAGGAGCCAGATTCGGTCTTGACTGTGCTTGCTCTTGGCCCCGATTAGTTCTCGTGACTTCCAGATCTTTCATCTGATAACATTGAATGCCGAATCTCTGACGTCGGAGGTTTTCCGTGCTCTGAGCCGAGGCAATTCAGAATCTCAGTTCGCAAGAAAGGGATCAAGTAATTGCCGGTAGAAAGCCCAATCGAGGTGTAGGAAACAGGGCCATCTGTGTACGGAGTCCGCTCTGTCTCCCCGGCCCAAGGGGGACTTCCCGCCTCCAAGCAACCGACCGAGCTGGCGGATTTCTAGAAGTGGACCGGGAGACGTTTGACTCCCTGTTCACTGACAGCTTTGGGGGTGTCACGGGTCCTCTCCCGCTCTTCAAACCTTGCTCAGTGCCGCGCTGCCATACACTAATCGCTACCATGCCGCTTTAAGCTGTACGATCGGCGTGATCTATAGTCAGAACCGCGAGATAGAAAGAAGTCAGTGGCTGGCTTCATTTCAAGAGATTGCAATGGTATCGTAGCCAAATAGGCTGGATTAGGCCTCGCGTAATCGGATTCCGAACTTGACAGCAGAGTGACCGACGCGTAAGAGGTGTCTTCAGAACGGTGTATCCAGTACAGCTGGCTTCTGACCGCCCTGTTAATGCTAGACCAATAATTGGTTCAAAGACTGGCGATCTCAAGAGCGACAGGCACAATCCACGTGCATCAGATCAGAGTCCCCTGCCGAGACTCGTCAGCAGCCATTGGCATTTGTTGGTGGCAAGCGAAAGGTTGAGTGTAAGGCAGGGGGTGCTAAAGCGGTGCTGTTCTGTTTGTACTGTAGACCCTTGTCTCACCTAAAGTTACAGTAGCTTCGAGCTCAACGAGTTCCGCTCACGCATCTGTTTCGATGTGGTGATGGTTTGAAGGCTGTGAGGATGGTGCCATGTCAATTCTTCCGGCGGCACATTGCGACACTCTTTGCATAGCGTTGGTATGCATTGCACACAGTATCTAAAGTTGTCGTAAGTTGGCGCCACTGTTTCTCTGATCTGATACTGTTATCTCTGGACGTTTGTGATGAAATAACCTGAGCCACGCACAGGGTAACTTTGGGATTGGCACCTCTAACTCTGGTTGCCTCAACCTCTACTTTGATAGCTTCATGTTTTCGGGCTTTGACGGCTCAAGCAAGCTGTGGTTCGATATAACGAGTGATCGAGCTCGAGATCTTAGTTTAGGACTTGGAGAAACCCCATAGTCGCCTCCTTTTCCAGCCCGGGAGTGGACCGTGGACCCAATTTCTCAGCAGAACGAAAACTGGAGAAGACTATCTTGAAGTTTGATGAGGAATCAGCAACGCAGTGATACCCTCCCTATCAGCTGGCCCGTACGGTGAGTGCTGTAAGTGCTGTAACTGTAGCCTGGGTCTTTTTTCAAGGCTGTTGATTGGATCTCAACATGTATTTATTAGCAACCATGGGTGTGTTTAATGATGTGCCACCTGCATGAGGGACCTTGTTTGCACTGGGCGGCATTCGGTATTTCGTCGCCGAGTCGGGGACTGCCATTATATTATGGTATGGTCATTGCTTCGTATCCTTGCTGATTCTGGTGCTGATGCTATTTGCTTGTTTGTTTGCAACGATCGAAAGAGATATTATTAGAGGTTTCTGATACTGTGATGTTTCGCAGGGAAAATAGCTGTTTGAAAGCTCATCAGTCGTTACAGTAGGATGGATATGCTGCAGGGTGAGAGTTGTTTGACACAACCCTTCCTTCTGTTTTGGTTCTATCAGAAGCACAGCTTCCGACTGTACCTGCTCTCCACACTCCATTACCTTTAGCGGGATCAACGCTGTTGTCGCTAAAATAAGGTGAGCTAACAGGGCGGGATCGGTACCGTACCTTCCAAGGATGTGGAGGCTGTGAGCGAGTGAAGTGAGTCTTTCCTCAACCCCGTTGCTGTTCCTGTTGCTGTTGCTCATTCCATCCCCAGATCACACGGGCCTCCCGGACAAGCATCCGCGCCTGCTTCACCTTGAGGTCAAGCTACCAGAAGTTCCCTCCCGCCTTCCCCCTCCTCTAGCTTATCTTACCTGGTGTCTCAGTCACACCCACCTCAGATACATAAACCCTCCTTCCCTCCCTCCAATTGAACCATCCAATTACTTCTACTTATACCTGTGCCTGCCTGTATCATCTATCCATTGCATCCGTGGACCCTCCACTCTTCTTCATCGCCTGATTGTAGACCGCTATCCATACACTACCTACCAACCACACTCCATCAGATCCATACCTACTACGCCAAACGTATAAGTAGCTGGACACCGCCAACACTTTGCTACCACCACAACAAACCTCTGTTTTTTTTTTGTCACATACAATCTCCTTCACAATGCCTAGAATCACCGCTCCCGTCTCAAAGCTCACTCGCTCTCTGGCCGAGTCCCAGCGCCATGCCGGTATCGCTCTCATGCCCAAGTATGCCGAGCTCCTCGGAGCTCCTTCAGAGCAGTCTCAGCACTCTGAGGTGAGTTTCTCGCTCTTCCAATTGGCCATTGCAGCTCTGATACTAACAATGCTTCCAGTCCCGTGGTCTAAAGACTACCCACCGACCTACTCCTCAGCCATCTCTTTCTGGTCGCCGAAGGCCTCTGATGCAGAGCTTCCACTCTTCCACACCTTCTCGTGCTCCTGTCAACCACGTCGACAGCACAGTCTTGCCCAAGATTCACGCTACCCCAAACTTCAACGAGCCTCTCCCTCGCATGCCTCTTCTCCCTGACAACTATGGCGCCTACCACAGCTCAATGTCCGATGCCGCCGACTTGTATAGCAAGCGGCCCGTCATCTTCGCTGTCGACCCTGATGTCGTCGTTCCCGGTGCTCCCATGGCTACCATGGATGCCGTCAACATGGACAGCGTCGACGTCAAGTTTGTTCATGAGCAGCCTGCTCAGGAAACCAAGGCAGATGACTCTGACCGAAGTACCTTTCTCAGAGACGTCTTCGGCGGTATGATTCAGGATATTCTTCCTGGACCTGCGCTCAGGAAAAACTAAGAGAATGAAGTGAAGACACGAAAGGGACGATAGAGTGGAGTCTGGTTATACCAGCTACTCATAAAGAGAGCTGATGATCTATTAAGCGTTTTAATCTGTTTATGCGAAGCAAGGTGCGGTTGTATCAATTAATAGCCCGTTACAAGAGGCTCCTGTGGCTAGGAACCATCCTTTTTTATACAACGATACACAATGATGAACTACAAGCCCAAGTGGCAGACTGGAATCAATACATATCCTTTGTTATCCTTCCAACTCAAACTTTGTAACTGTGAATAAATGTCTATGAGATCATCGACGTATTCGTCCACATGCCGACTGGCTCATCTCCTTGAGATACGATATGATAACACGAGCGAAGTTGAATGCCATTGGATACTATGCCAGGTTTGTGTTGATGTTTTGTTGCATATATGGTATCATCTCTCGTAAAACACCACCACCTGCATTGCCTTGCTCTTTTTGGTCGAAACTCAACGTTCCATCCTTTTCGGCCCTTTCCTGTCAATCTTGGAGTCTTCACCAATTGTGGTACAGTACGTAATCGCAAGAACGCAGCTAACTATTAATCAACCAACGAAATCCATTCCCTTCCTATAGCCCGTCTTCTTGATATTTGCGTGATTCTTTATCGCTTCTTGAGCGATGGTCTGGGCTTGCACTCGTCCTGGTTGACAGGGTGCAGCATTACCTTGATAGGATAGTTCTGAGTGTTGTGCTGGTAGCCCTTGGCCCAGTCGTAGCCCACAGCATAGGCGAAGATAGAACCGTTCTTGTTGAAGGTCGTGGAAGTGATGCTGCCACCAACGTTGGGGTAGCCCTTGAGACGGTGCTTGGCGTCCTTGTCCCAGAAGTGGAATGTTCCATCGGAACCGGCAGTGCTGAATGTGCCATGAACGGGGTGGAAGGAAATATCGTTGACGGCGTAGACATTGGTGACGCTGTTGGCTGGGGGGTCGCGATGACACTTGAAAGAGAAGTTGGAGCTGCAATATGTTAGTCTAAGCCGGTCAAGAGATGTGTACCCGAGGAGCTTCTTACCTTGCGTCCTTGTCCTCGACATATTGGATAGCGCAACGACCTTCGATACTACCGATAGCAAAACCAGCAGAGTCCGTAAAGCAGCTAACCACCCTGGTCTGCCATTTGAGAGGGCTCTGCAGGGTTTTATAGAATTTGGTAGGGTTCTTGAGATCGATGACATTGATGTATCGATCGGCGGTGCCGACAACGCAGAGATTATCGCGGACGTCCATCGTATAAACTCGCTCCTGGCATTGTACGGTTGCCGCAGGTCCCTGTTGTCTAAGATCCCAGTACTTGATCGTCTTATCCCACGAGCCCGAAACCACCATGTTGTTGCCCTCGCTCAGGAAGAATCGACATGTTCGCACTGGCTGGTCGTGTGTGCCGATAACGATGTCCTGCTGAGAGGCAAGATCGCAGACCTTGACGTTCTTGTCGGCGCCAGCAGAGGCGACCTTTGTTCCATCCTGGAAACCCAGTTAGTTGCTATTCTATTTCGCTCGATCGTCATAACTCCGTACCTTGGAAAAGTCGCAGTTCAACACAGGCTGACTGTGCTCGTAGGCGTGTCGCCCCTGGCTCTGGCCATTGGCGGCAATCTCGTAGATGCGGACCTTGTTATCCCAACTGGAGATGGCGAGAAAGTCAGGACCGTTTGGCGCAGGAGAGAAGGAAAGGTCGGAGATGGTATCGGTAGGGGGGTCGGAGAGCGCAACATCTTGCTTGAGATCGCCAACAGTGTTGCTTGTCGTCGCTGCGGCCGAGGCACCACCAAAAAGGGCCGACATGGTTGCGGTGAGTTGAAGGGGAGAAGTTGAAAGCCAGTCGGTGGCCCTTTTTTCTGCCTTTTTGACTTTGGATAACAACTCCTGAGGCTCAAAATAAGTGACTTCTCGGTGAACTTTCCAACTGACTAAGCGACGTATCTCAGGTTAAAAAACAGGTCTTTAGAGAATTTGATGTCTGCACTGTTGAAACTGGTTGCGCCGCGAGCTTTGTATTTCGAATGAATAAACAGGCACGAAGGCAGCGACCCAGCCTTCTCAACGCGAATTCGGATTGGCCAGCCCGCGTCAGACAAAAAAAGGCAGCTAGCTGAGGTACAGCCACATCTGGAAGCTCTGATCCATAGCGCCACACTTCAGCCCCATTTTGTGCATAAAAATTCAACTCGACCCGGATACAGTTTTTTTTTTCTTCTTCTTTCTTCTCTTCATCCGCGCCCCTCGCTCAATAAATCGCCATTCGAAGCTCACAAACAGAGACATTGCGATTTATCGCAGCGTCTCGCATTCTTTCTGGCTTTGGGAGAAAGTCCCCGGACGTCTTCGTTTCGACGGAGCTTGCGGAAACGCGCCGCCATAGAAGCACAGCGGCTGACTTCTGCACCCAGGCCCTCGCCCTGCGCCGGCCCTGCCCTCCGCTACATCAATTTGTTAAGGGCTCTGAATCACGTTCTCTGCCGCTCTCGGTCCTCTTGGATGAAGATATGAGTCCGCTGCCGAGAGATTGGTCGGTTTCGAGACAGACGGGTCGTCTGACAGGTTGATGGTTGGTAGACGCTTGGTGCTCGCGCGTGTGGTATCGGGTCGCAGAGGATTTGTTGTCGAGATTGATAGGTATGCGATTGCTCGGCGAAAGCTGGGTTACTCGATGGGGCTCATTCTTGGTGCGAGGGGCCGGCATCCCGTTGACCTTTGGGTGACGGTCTTCTCCTTTTTTACACTCTAAACTTCGCTGGAAGTTCCCCTATTTGGGAGAGACCTGAACCTGGATGAGATGGGTTGAAGTTTTTGTGATGATGACCAAACATAGAGTCAAGCACCGAGTCAGGAAAACCTGGCGTTGTGGACCACCAAATTATGTCAACTGAAAAACTTCAACTTTCTCGTTTTGGGGACGGATGTCGATGCCAGGATTGATAGTTAGCTAGACCTTTGACTGTTGATCCTTTGATCTGATATTGAACTTAATCCGGGTTGCGAGGGTTTTTCATCTTGTGTTCAACGGAGCCGACCTATCCAACTTTCCTTATGGGATGGTTGGATGATTTGCAAGGAAAGCTACTGGAATATCCCTTGTTCTACCTCCGTATATTTGACTGACGATGTATTGGGGCTGGAGTAACGATTGAAGAGATTTGTTCAAGATCTTGTACATCTTGATAGCCTTCGATACTGTCATCAAAACTCATATATTTATGAAAGGTTCATCTCGAGGAAGCACTCGAGATTGTGCCCTGATAGCTTTCCCAACTTTGACGATCCGTCTATTTAACGCCAATATCCAAGAACGGGTTGCTACCCATTTATATGTTCTACTTCTATTTATCCAACTTTGTCTTGTCTAACACATTCTATCACGCTTGATTTAGGGTGTGAACTTGCCAAGAGCGCCTTCATTGCCTCCATCAAACAAGTCATGCAAGTTGTCGAGCTCCTGGAAGTGCTTTGCGTACTCCATACCCTTACGTCGCTGCGCCTCAACACGTCGCCAGTCCCATTCTCCAGGAACATCCAAGTCCACATCAGAGATATCAGCAGAAAGATCGCCGAGTTGTTGTTCACCAGATGTCCAGCCTCCAGGTCGCTCGGGCAGAAGACCAGAGGCGCCTCCAAGCATGATAGCTGGGTTGACAGTGAAGCGACCCAACTTGAAAACGTACTTGCTGATGGCTGTAGCATAAATTTTCTTCTCCCATCCACCAGCAGCATCTTGGGGGCCTCGCGCAGAAACCTTCTTAAACGTGGGGTCGAGCCATGATGTTGGCTTAGCGGCTCCCTTGGGGATATAATGTGTCACGATGTACAACCACTTGCGGTCCCAGCATAGAATGCGGCTCCACATCTCGAAGCTTTTATACGCAGGGATCTCACGCTTGAAGCTACACTCGACAGCCCCAAGTATGATGCTCATCTGGCCCTTGATAGGCTTATCGGTCTTGGGGTCCAGGACAATCTTCGTCTTGGTGTTCTGGGCGAGGGTAATATAGGATGCGCGGCAGAGGTAGGTAACAAGGTGCGATCGCGAGACGTCGAGATCGGCAAAATAGGTCGAATTAGATTTGTGTAAGTTGTAGTCGATCTCGAGAAGAGGGGCGTGGGTGGTAGAGATCATGGGTTTGAAGAGAGCTTCGGGTCCAAGAGTTGGCGATTTGCGCCAGAAGGTATGGTAGAAGATCACGTAGAAGACTCGGTACTATATAGTGTCAGGGTGTTGTGCAGAAGCTAGAAGAGGCCGTCGATACTTACAGTCCAAGCAAAGGGCATGCTCTTCCAGTTGAACACAACGAACAGCAGCAACAGGATCCGCGACGTCCGGCCAGGTCCTGTAAGGAAAGCCTTGATCAGAGGACCCCAATTGACCCGATAGGCAGCATATCCAGCAGAACCTAGAGCGAGAGGCATGATGACAGGCACCACATGGGAAAGCCCGAACATTTTCTTATTTGCGCCAGCCATGATGAGCGATTGTGATGTTTGCGACAACCTTTGGTATGGATGACAAGGATGGAATTCACCCGGTATTTATCTCAACCGATTGCGGTTAATAAAAACCCGCGCAATCTCGTGCGACAGAAACTTGCCAATCAAGGAAGCCTGTGGTAAACGCCGAGGATGCCGTAGGTAGTGAGCGTCCAACCCTGAAGTTAGTTGCCCCTTGAAAAGTTCAAAGCTCTTTTGCGATATGCCACTATCGATTAGTGAAGGAGCCGAGGCACGGAGTCTTGGTGGGAACGCGACTCGGCCGAGTTGTGTAAGCGACGAAAGTGTTGGGAATATCAACGACAAATAGAATCATATTCTACCAGAGAACAACGGATAGAGAAAGGGAGCATAAGAGCGTTATAACAACGAGGTCTCGCCAGATTTATGCTGGTTTCCTTACAACATACATGCTGACTCAGTGAGCATTCAACAGGCAAGATACGGCAAGATATGGAATCTGACAGCGATTTTATCCATTTATCACACGTCAGCTTGCCGCACACCGAGAGGCATGCTTTCTATTGGAAGAACATGCATTGAACAACATCATAACAAGTAACTTGGACGTTATATGGACAAAAAGATTCAAGTTGCCTGGATTGCAAAAAGAGGATATATGGTGGAATCTAACCACCTGCAATGGACGAACAGGGAATCG